AGCCCGATGCATGCTTATTCGCGGATCTTTGTTAATTAAAATCTCAGTAACTATTGCGAATCTAGCAAAATGGTATAAGACTTTTCGATTCAGTTTTACTCCTTCTACCTGCCTACGAGAGATTGTACGGCCATTCTGGGACACCCTGTATATACACATATATATGCACTTCCTCCAATTCATCTGCAATACACAACTCGGAACCGGTTAACAGATTCTGTTATCCAAATTATTCACGTAAAACAACAAAGTATCAATTTCTGAACACATATACTACTATTTCTGGACATACTTGTGGTAATTGTTTTACTGTTTGTATAAAAATAATTTAATTCTATAACAATAAAGTATTATAAAATTTTCTAATTGGAAAAGTATCTATATTAAATAAATTGTATTATTCTTACAAACTTTAATACAAATTGCTTTGTTTCTTAACTCTGTTCCGCAAGTATATTTTGTGAAAAAAATTTAAATAATCGTTAATATAATTATTTTGTATGTATTTACATTTTTGTATGTATTTTGTATGTATTTTTTTTACACGTATACAAATACGACGACTTAATGTTTATTTGAATCGACGTTGTCCGATATTGCAATTAACAAATGTAATATCCGTGTACGGGTTATTAAAGTCTGGGTAGTATAGTTAGATGAGCTAGGAAGAGAGGAGAACCTCATATACTAGAATTCTATTATTACACTGCGTCGCCGGCTTAAACTCAGTTGGTCTTAGCTCCTTGAACCGTGAGAACAGCTTTGGCTTTCACACACCTGAGAGTCGCCGAGTTTGCCGCGGTCGGTCTGCTGTTCCGATAAGAAAAGCGTGATTCAGTTATTCTCCTCGATCAGATAATTTTACCGATCGTTATCGAGCATTATTGCGTAATTTTTATTGTGTACAGAGAAATAAAGTGTGAAAAAATGCCTTACTACAACGATATCCCGCATTATTATGGAGGAGGAGCTTATGTGAATCACAGCTCGTTAATGACGGGCATGGGGCGGTAAGGCTCAAGCAATTTTTTTTTTTTTTATCACTATAATATGGCAATTAGCTTGTTCTCGTTTGTATCCATTACATCTACTCAAAAGTTAAAATTTTTATTTCTTGAATAAAATCTTTCGTTTTGAATGTTGATTGGTGGAAATTTTTCTCAGGGCTGGTAGAGAAGTGCACGTGCGCGCTCGCGCGCGCGCATACACACACACACACGTACGCATGCACACATATGATTATATTAAAAAAAAAGCATCAGTTTGTACATCGACTGAGATTGTACGTATCATTAAAAAAATCACGTTTACTTTCCAACAAGTGTTCGTGTGAAATAATTTCGCTCTGTAACGTGATACGTAAAACAGAAATAAGCATTTGGCATTGAAGCGAGTACGCGATCAAAGGGTTCGTCAATCACAAAACAAACGAATGTTTAGAACTAGATAACTGAGATGTCATTATTCTTGTAGACTAGTTTTTTTTAGAGAAGTTAACAGAATTTAATTTTTTTTCTCTGTTTTTTTATTTTTTTATTTTTTTTTAGCTGTGCTTGATTTACGCAATTTATTTTCCATTTTTTTAGAAGACATTGTGTAAACCGTTGTGCAACAGATTCTTCACGCATCGTATATAGACAATAATGTGTTCTCTGATAATGCTTGTAATACAGAAGCTTTCAAAGTTTAAGATCTAACGATCAATTTTGTGTTATGACATAAAGCGCGAACGCCCACGCTGTTTACGTAAAGAACCAGATTGTAGAAGAGCGCGCCATGAGAAAAGTATCTACCTAGAAACAAAAATAAGGTTTCACAAAATGTGGATTTCACAAATGTGTGAAACAAAAAATAAAATTTTATAAAATGTCGCTAATTCACAATAAACCCCATACAGAACACCCTTCCATTTACCGTTGTCGCGTTTTTCGCCGCATCTGTCAACGATTTCGGAATCTCCGCTAAACCATCTGCATCGTTTCTCGCCGATTTCTGTGAGACCACATACAAGACGAGTGATCGACACAGCGGATATCGACGTATCTTCGCCCAGAATCGTTTCGCATGACGGGAATCGTACTAGGAATCGCCTACGTCGCAATCGGCCCACTATCAAAATCAGATCGCAAGCTCTAAAAAATAATCCTGCGTTACGGGAGCACAATGAGAAGCACGAAAAATCAGTGGGCGAGCTTTTGATGGAGAAATTTTATATCAAGGACAAGAAATCGGATGGAAATCAGCAGACAACACATTTGTATCATCAGGTTAGTTTGGATGAAAAAAATGACGCAGCACGAGAGGTTTTACAGAGGCGAATCACTCGCAGATTCACACGACGCAGGTCGTCCGCCGATTTACAACTCGATGCTGAGCAACTGCAGCAAGAAGCCACATATGCGCAGGTACAAGCTAAAGTCCTCGATAGTCTTGTCGCTGAAGAACAAGCGCAAATTGAAAATGAAGTCCGTCGAGGTACTTTGATCAGAAAAGGAGCGACGAGAGGACTATCGGAAGGCGCCAGCCGCTCTTACGCGAACAGCACCGACGACTCAATGACTCAAGAAGAGGAAGAAGAGAAAGAGGAAGAAGAGAAAGAGGAAGTGGTTGAAGCAAAAATAAAAAAAACTACAAAAAAGACAAAAAAGAAGAAAAAACCAACTGTTATCTCCGACAAGCCGTCGCCAGACGATATGCTCGAATCGAGTGCTAGAGAAGTGTTTAATGACTCGAAGAACAAGGAAGAGAGCAACGATTCGAGATCTCAGATATACAAGATTGAGGACTGTAACAGCGCTGGCGACTTCACCGCGATCGAGTTGAACGCAACGTCTGAAAAGGACGAAAAGAAGCACAAATCAACGCTCGAACAGTACAGAGAGAGTGTGAGAGTTCCAATTCCCAAAAAATCTGGAATCACACGAAATGCTGTTGCCAAGAGTACAGATGTAATCGAGACACAAGTCATTTTACCTGTGCGAAAACCTTACGTAAAGGATCCATCGAGAAATAGCGTACATTTGACAGTGAGGAAACCTACGGAGGAACTCAGCGAGAAACTTGAACAACTAAACGAAAACCTCGACGCGGAAGACGTTCAAAATGAAGCAGATTTGGCGACTAATTTTGTTGACGATTCGAATAAGATTCTTCGGGACAAAGTGTGCGAAAAGAATTTGTCCGAGTTGACAACTGATGAGGATAATAAAAACGTATCGTTGATAAAGACTGCGGTAAAGACAAACAAGGGCATTTCAGAAACAAAGAACAAAACGCAAAAAATTGTTCAAGATGCATTGTCTGAAAAAATAACAAATTCTGTAGATTCGAGCGTTTTAGCTTTGAAGACAGAGTTCAAAGAAAATTTACAATCGGACCAGTTAGACTCGTCCGGAGATCTTATCGCGAATAAAAATAAAAATGAAGAACATAAGAACTCGATCGATAATACGAAGAAAAACGTAGAAGCTGCTAATAAGACGCCAGGATATTTGGCTACCAAGGATTTTATCACTTCGGGAAAAGATTCTGTCGAGGCGTCGAGAACAGACAAGCTCGCAGAGAAAGATAGAATCCCAGACGCAACAAGGAGCGTTGTCTCGATCGAAGCTGATGAAAAGAGCGCCAACAGTAATGTGACGCTCACGCCGAGCAGCGTGATCGGTTGTTTGCCAAAACTGTCTAAAATTAATACGGATAGAAATAATGCCGTAGAAGCGCCAGAGCTTCCGTTACAAGAGACGGCGGAGTATCTGGCAAAAAGTGCCGAAGACGTCGTCAAAGTCAGTGCCGCTGCTGCGTTACCGAAAAAGAAGGTGAACAAAGCGTCAAACTTGGCTAAGATCTCCCCTTTTAACGCTTTGAAGAAAACCAGTGGCGTAAACGCGGCGACCTTCGAAATCGATGCGGCCCGATGCGACGCGGCGGCCAAGTCAAAGATTCAAGACACGACCTTGCTCAAGGAAACGAACGATCAAGTGCGTAGCAACGACCGCAACGAGAAAACGAAATCAACGACGACAACGATCAAGTTGACAAAAGACATCGACCTAACATCAAGAAACGACGTAGGAAAGACTACCGAAAACGTGCCACGTCAATTATCTTTAGACACAACTGGTTCGTCCAAGACAGAAGTAATCGACGCCGACGTAACCGTGAACTCGTGCGATATTAATATTAAGAAAACAAGTGATATCGAAAAGACTTTACCGACAGATTCCGGTTTATCTAATATCAAAAACAAAGCCGCGCCGAAACTTGATAACATAAATGTGAAATCGCTCTCCAAGACAACAACATTTCCAAAGACTGTCGCGTCTCCAGTCGAAAAAGACCCGGGTTTGTGTAAAACGATAAAAGTTAATAACACTGATCTGACGTTGTCTTCAAAAAACAACCTTAATGTATCAAAACTTCCCTTGAAGAACAGTATTGGCAATTCCTTCGACACAAAAGCGGATCCATCATTGCCGAAATTGATATCGAGTAATGAAAATGCTTCCGAGATTTCACAACAGTCTGCGGATGGAAAAAATACGAACAAACATAGTGTGCCTATTGAGAACGAGGCAGTAACAAGTTCGAATAACGTTACCAAAACGAAAAAGAAGCCGATAAACGTAAATTGCAATAAATGGCAAGAGAAAAGTGCACAGTTATCGAAGAGTTCCTCTACCGAATCCATCGATTTTTGGAGCGAGATCAAAGCGCCGAGCAGTCCCGAAACGACAAAACCGAAATATCAGAACGAAATGTTTTCTCACGAGACGACAGTTCCTCCTAAAAGAGGATTTGAAGAAAAGACGCAGCAAGATTTAATCAAATTCTCGAACGACTTGATGGCGAAAGAATCGTCGACTGTGGCAAAAGAAGACAATAAAGAAAGTGAGACTAAAATAAGTGTCGCGGAATCCGGCAACTCGGCATTTGTACGAATCTGTGATCACGCCGTTCAAGATCAAAAGGAGAAGGAAAAGGTCATTCTGGAAGAATCTTGTAGAATAAAGAAAGTAGAAACTACGAAACCCAGCGAAACGATAACAATGAAGAAAGATAATACGCCGACGGTGCGGAGAATGCCATCGAAAAAAAAGAAAAAGAAGATTCTTTCGATAACGATCGATAACAATGATTCGACCTCATCAGTAAAGAAAGCTCCGTTGAAGCGCAATGACGTCACGACGCCGCAACAATTCAATACGAATGCAATTTCTACAGTTACTCCAGAAGTTATTCTACCGGTAATAAATATAACCGAAGCACCCAAGACGTCTGAAGTATCCCACAATGGCGACGAAGATGAGTACGATGATCCTAGCACTCCGACCAATGAAGTACCGCCTGATTCCTTATTAACCACGAAGATGTCAAGATGGAGTAATCAGGATAATTTAACGAACACTGACGACGTGGCGACTCCGATCGCGTCGGAAGAAACCAGTTTAACTACCAGTCCCAACGTCAGTCCACATTCCTCCAAAATAAAGCGAACGATCAAGAAGAAGAAACCATCAACCAAAAAGAAGTTATCAGTAAAAAGCGGGAAAGAAGGAATTAATGAAGAATCTCGTAACAATGAATCGACAACCGCCAAACCTGCTGAGAAACAATTGGCGAAACTCTCACCGCAAATATCGCCCAAGTCTAGTCCGAGAAACTCGCCCTCACAACGACCGATTGATCTTATAAAAATGTTTTACACTACACCGTCGGCATTGCTTACGGCTACACCGAGAGATCTTTCTAAGGTTAGAAGGGCAAAGATCAAGAGACGGCGGCATCATTCGAGAACCCCATCCGTCAGTAGCGATAGCACCGGAAGTACAACGAGCACCGCAACGACAGAGAGCACGGATGGAAGAGGGTCAATCTGCAACGAACTGGACGACGATTCTGAGCAAAAGAGAATGAACTCAACGAGAAGCAACGATTCTGGATTCGATGGCTCGCCGAGAATCTCGAGTACTTAATTTGCACCTATTTATCCTACACGTCAACGTTATATTGATACACACACACACACACACACACACACACACACACACACAACGTCCAGACAATTTCGAAATGTGTTCTGTTTGTTGTTGACGACTATCTAAAATATACAACAGCTTAATTAAGCGTACGATCGACATACAAATATAAGAACTTATTTTAAACATGATTTCTTGGTAAAATATTGAGAAAGTGTCTGGAAAAATGAACTATAAAGTTTGAACAACATTAATTTGCTTTAATTGTGTTTGTCAATGTTTTAACACGTTACTTGCTTACAAATTAATAATACTCTTTCGTAATTTTGTGTGTCTTTACAGGCATATGTGTCGTAGAAGAACCCAACGTTAAAACCTTAATATGCGAAAAACTTGATTTTTCCACAATTTATATTTAACCGCTTGGATTTCTCTCTTAACGCATGTGCGTGTGTTTTAATTTTTTTACGTAACAACACATGAGACTATACTTTCGAATACTGCAATCACATGTCTTTTGACTGTTGATCAACGAACGGTACGCGCGACGAAATCACATCTCGAAGACGCGAAAAACGGTGCGCGTTCTGTTCAAACTATTCGTGTAACGATACTTGGGCATCACATACGCGCGTATATATATATATATATATATATATATAAAGTCATATATAAAGTCGACAAATCGACACTCGAGATCTTTTTTTTTTTTTTAACGCGGCAAAGTATTTTTGTTCATTCCTTACACCGAGTCTTCTCTCGTGCGACGAGTCTCGTTCTAGCGGTATCACGTTGTACATTGCTGTCTGCATAACACACACAATATGGCAGAAGTAATGCGATGTATAACATTAATGCATTTAAAATTCATAATAGTTTCGCCAAAGATATCTCTGTGTAGTATTCTGTTTACATAGTAAAAAGATACAACAATCTATAAAATGTTTCTAAAACATTTTGCCAAACATTTTGTATTTTCTCACACGCGACTGTGTTGTGAAAAATTCTTGTGCCAATTTTGTTGTTTTCGTATTTCTCTCTCTTTCTCAAATAAACATAAATCTTCCTTCTCTTGTTTTTTCTTGTTTGTTGAAAAATTTCTACAAATATCATGTAACTTCTGCTTCCAGTGCAGATCGCATATTAACGCGTGATAACGTTATTACGCATTCCAAGTGTTGTAAATCAAAACTTCGCGAAATTATATAAGATAACTTTTGTATAAAAAGTTTAGAAGATTCTTTATATAAAATAAACAATGATAATTAAAAAGGATTTAAAGCATATGTGGCGTTTTCTATTGCTTTGCGATAAAACGTTCCTGTAGATTGTGACATGGCCTGCCATAAGAAGTGCGAAAAGCTGACGGGAAATCTATGTGGATTAAACCAAAAGCTAGTCGCGGAAGCGTTGCAAGCTTTGAAGAGAGGTGAGTAGGTTCTCTGAATATTCTGAATTGCTCTGTCCTTATTTCCAACTGCGGTATTTCGAGAAGCATGAGTCCCAGAGTAACACGTGGCATTTTCGGATATTCTTCGGTTTCTGCTCAGTTCTACGCTACAGATACGCTCGTACAAATTATGCAGGTAGTTTCAAGCGGTTGAAATTATTTTTGGAAACTGTCACACAGCCAAATTGCACAGTCAGGTGTTTTTACACGCCAATGTTAAAGATGACAATTATAGTAAGCGTTGCATATATATATATATA